AGTATATTCAAAGATTTGTCCCAAAACATACCTGGTTCTAGTTGAAATACAAGAGGCTCACCACCTCTTTTTGCCATTTGGCAATGACATTTGGAAATAACAAAAGTAAAAGAGACACTTGAGTTATTCATAATCCTGATAGCTTGGCTGAAATTCCATTTATTTCTTGCTCCCTTAAGAAGGCAAATGAAATACAAGTGATAAAATTGTGATTTTTAACCTGCTCTAATTAATGGATAAATTATTTGTGGTAAATGAGTATGAGTGATAGTATTGTGCCAGAAAGCAGCACTCCACAATGGCAAGGCAATAGCGCTGCCTGGGGACTCATAATTTTCCATCTCCTTGCCTCCTGGAGTCCTGAGTGACCTGTTTACCAAGCTTAATTATTATTATCTCTTAGGAATGTAACATCCTCAGCCATGTTGACAACTGGTCAATGGTTCTTTTAACCAGTTTTAAATTAAAAAAATATATATATATTTTTATTGATTTTTAACAGAGAGGAAGAGAGAGAGAGAGAGAGAGAGAGAGAGAGAGAGAGAGAGAGAGCGAGCGAGCTAGAAACAACAGCCAGCTGCCTCTTGCACATCCCCTACCGGGGATGTGCCCACAACCAAGGTACATGCCCTTGACTGGAATCGAACCTGGGACCTTTCAGTCTGCAGACTGACGCTCTTCCTCTGAGCCAAACTGGCTTCAGCTTAACCAATTTTATATATCAAGATATTAGGTTGTCTTTAAAAAATACATATTTCTATTGATTTTTAGGGAGGAGAAAGGGAAATGATGTGACAGCAGGAAAGATCATTTACTTCCCCCACTGAGGATTGAGCTTGAAACCTCGGCATGTGCCCCAACCCATGTGTGCCTGACTGGAATTGAACCAGCAATCTTGTGGTACATGGGAAGACGTCCAAACAACTGAGCCACAGCAGCCAGGGCAACAGGCTGTTTTTGAGTAAAGTGTCATTTGAGGCATAGCAATTATACTTGACTTTTGACTTGGTAGACTGACTGACATGCTTACAAAATCAACTGTCCTGAGGAATCTCTATATATAGCCTAAGCAATTGGTTGGTTGGCTGGTAGCTATGACATGCCATGGCCACCAGAGAGAATATGCTCGACGCAGGAGCTGCCAAGCGACAGCAACTTTGCAGTGTCCTCTTGCCCACTGTGGGACCTCTCGGGGGATGTCAGACTGTCAGTTTTGGCCCAATTCCCCACAGGCCAGGCCAAGGGATCCCACCTGCTGGAGGGACCCTGCTCATTCCAGAAACCCTTCGAGCCCTGCAGCCACCCCATGTGTGAGGTTGGCTGGACCCATCTCGCTCAGTCCTGCCCTGCCAGCCACCTTCTAATTAATTTCCTTTCAATGTGCACAAATCTGTGCACTGGGCCTCAGTGTTGAGAATAAAATGGAATATCCCCAAGCAAGTGTCTAAGAACCTTTAAGATGGGACCTGAGATAACATTTTGGGGTGGGGGAGAATAAATTACTTAGATGTTTTTCTAGAAAAGGATGGCCACTTATTTTTTAAGTATATTTCCTGTTGAGTAAAGCTGAAGTGAGGCTGTGGTAATGGCCCCGAGAGCTCCCAGGAAATCACTAGGCCATACCTGGAGTCCTTTCATAAAATGAATTTATTTCTAGGCTCTCCCTTCTAGTCCTTTGGTCTGTCTTTATCACAGAACCACTGTTAGGATCACTGTAGCTTTGTAATAAGTTTTCAAATCAGGAAATGTGAGACTTCCAACTTTGTTCTTTTTCAAGATCATTTTGGCTATTTGGATACCCCTTAAGATTATGTACTAATTTTAGCATGGATGCTTTTATTTCCACCATTACTACTATATAGGGATTTTTGGTAGAGATTACGTTGCAGACTCTACATGGCTTTGGGTAGTATTGACATCTTGAAGGATATCAAGTTTTCTAATTCATGAACATGGGGGGGGGAGTGTCTTTCCATTTATTGGTATCATTAATTTCTGCAATGTTTTATAGTTTTCAGTGTAAAAGTTGTTTGCCTCTTTGGTTAATTCTTATTGATGCTGTTGGAAATGGAGGAAAGCACAAATTTTAAGGATGATAGACTTACAAGTCAAGGTTTTTATGATTTTGTTTCCTTGCTCTTGTGGGCTGCTGCACTAACAGATTTTTGGAGCTTTAAAAAAATCTCATGTAATTAGTTATTACATCTTACCGTCTATGTACAGAGCTGCCTCTTCAATTTAACTGAAACTATGATAAAATAACTTGCTAATTTCCCAAATTATCTGTAGCACCTATAACACTGCTGGCATATGTAGGTAGCAAAAAATAAGGAGAAAGAAAAATAACAAAAAACCATTTAAAAAAAAAAATCAATCTTTATTGTTCATATTACAAAGGTTCTTCATTTCTTCCCCCCTCCACCAGGTTCCCACCCCACCTTCTGCCCTTTCCCCACCCCCCATTGTCCTCATCCATAGGTGCACAGTTTATGTTCAGTCTCTTCCCGCATCCACCACTCCCACGCCCCCTCGAGAATTGTCAGTCACTCCCCTCCCGTATCTCTGATTCTATTATAATCAAGTTAATATTGTTCATCGGGTTTAATTTCCTTTTTTAAATTAATAAACTTTTATATTTTTAAGAATAAATTTTAAAATCTAATAATTTTAAACCTTGTTTTTTTCTGCCCTGGGAACTGAGAAGCAAACTTGTTTATATGTAAATTTCCCCTTAGGCTATCAAAAGGCCTAAGGGGAAATTTACATATTGTAAATTTAAACAATGTGTTCATTTACATTTGAATGGTAATTACATTACCATTCAAATGTAAATGAACACATTGTTTAAAGATAGCTGCTGGCTGGAATTGGATTACCTGTTCTGGGTGGGAAGGGCTTGTCCTCCCCTTTCTCCATTAAAATTAAGGTGTTAGCTTTAAAACCTCTTTTTGGCATGAGACCTTAAACTTTCAGAATTTTAAATTTTTCAGGTAGTAAATCAATTACATAGCATTTTCTCAAATCAATAATACCTCCACATGCCCAAGGATACACTTCACACAAAAGACACTTCTAAACAGATCAACCAACCTCATCCAGACCCCACATAAGGCACTCACTGATCACACCCCAGCGCTATGCTAACTCAACACATCCAGATCTAAGCCTTCCTCATTTGATTCAGCAGACCCTCAAGACCCTCAGCCATGTCTGAGAAGCAGCCCTGGGACATGGACAGGCGAGGAGCGAGCGGTTCTGGGTCCGGCTGTTCGGGCCCTGGCCTCTGTTGCTCCGGTCTGCTCCACAACCAGCTGCTCCGGGTCTGGCCACTGCTGCTCGGGGCCCGGCTGCCACCGCTCCGGGCCCGGCTGTTCCAGGCCTGGCCGCTGCTGCTCCGTGTCTGGCTGCTCCAGACCCAGCTGTTTCGGGCCCGGCTGCTGCTGCTCCGGGCCTGGCTGCCCCCGACCCGGTGGCTCTGGGCCCTCAGAAAAACAATTTTTAAAGGTGTAAAAAGACAACAACAGCCGAAACCGGTTTGGGTCAGTGGTAGAGTGTCAGTCTCTGGACTGAAAGGTCCCAGGTTCGATTCTGGTCAAGGGCATGTACATTGGTTGCAGGCACATCCCTGGTGGGGGGTGTGCAGGAGGCAGCTGGTCGATGTTTCTCTCTCATCAACGTTTCTAGCTCTCTATCTCTCTCCCTTCCTCTGTGTAAAAAATCAATAAAATAATATTTAAAAAAAAGACAACAAACTAGGCTAGATTTATTAGATTTTATTTTTCCTTATTACTCTTAAAATTCAGCTTCAAATAACCAGACTTCTGAAATAACAACTCTTTCCCAGGCTGTAATCCTTTTTTAGGAGACAGATTTATCAAATACAACCGTTCCGGGATGTCTCCACTGAGAATTCTAACCCAGTTACAATCTAGGCACATGTAACATAATGAATATAGCACATACCATTTCTTTCCTTCCTTTGCTAAACGTACCCTCCCCCCCAACCCCCATTTACCCTCGCAAAGCTTGTTAAAGATGTTAGAATATCATACTTTCCAAGAAATCTGTCTACCAGTGCTAATTCTTGGCTCAGAATAAAGGATCTCTTGGTTAAGAAAGAATATTCTGAGCTTATTGTTCTCTGCCATGGATATAATTAAATTGCTTTACTTAACACCTGACTTAGCCTTGCTTTCAATGCTTTTTATTTGCAAAAGTTAAACCCCATCTTAAAAACTAACAATTTGCTTTACGACTTGGAGAGGGGAGACTGCGGAAGACAGGTGGGTTGTTTGTAGCTGGCGACTGAAAAGGGCAGGTATTTACTTCTGAAGTCATTTCGTGGAAAAACAGCAACTGTTCCTCCACCTTGTTCTGATAATGAACATACCTACAGGCCAGGACCAGAAAACTCTTGTCCTGAGACTATAATATATAACAATATTGCTTAAGTACATTTAGAATTTATATTACTCTTTAGTTTATTGTCCCTGAGCTTGTGTTCACAGTTTGGTAGAGATATTTTAAAGAGGTAGGTAGTAGGGTTGAAGAGGAAATATTGTTCATGTTTAGCAGCACTTGGGAAAATATGTAACATGCCATTTTGATCGTAGATAACATCTTTCCTCCTCAAATATGCAAATGTAATAGAGGAAGATGATAATTTTTCTTTATATTCTTATCCACTAAGGACCCTCTCCTATATCTTCCAGTGTTAACACTATTCACTCATATGAATAGCTCTTTCAAAGACATGCCGTAAAATAAACCCTTCAAAGTGGGGTTGTCTGGATTTAGAAGAGAGAAGTTCAACTGAGTAACTTTTATTTATACAGTTACTATTTAGGGAAAATGGGCAAAAGTTCCAGTGCCCCAACCACTGTCGTCTTCCTGGTCCTGGTTTACTTAAATAATTTCCATCAGCTCAGGGTGACTGTAAGGTCTGCCTCTGGGGAATCCTGACAGGGAGAGGCACGTGGTCCAGGTGTTGGCCTCCAGCCTTACGCTGGGCTGGTGGAATACTGTTTCATCAGCTGCTCGTGACAGGGATTGCAAACTCGCTCAGGCTTAATGCTTGAAGGAAGAGGCAGTTCGTTTGTTGAACAGGCATCACAGAAGGTTCCTCTGCAGTTCTCACAGACATTCTGTAAGGAGAAGAGCGGGTTAGGTGGGGATGAGAAGGGACATGCATGCATAGGATATAAAAGGCCAAATACCATCAACACTTAGCGTCTAATCAAGCTCTGCCTTGAATGTTTGCTAAGCACAATCTCTGCCTACAGAGAAGCTTACAATCTAGTTATTAGGTTTTAAATGAAGAGGATTAAGAAGGACGGATAATACACACATTCCTTATCTTTAGGATACATACTTTCCTTCGCTATATTCACTGTTAGGTAGACTAAGCTAAAATTAGTTTGCAAATGCCTAAGCATTCTCCAAGGCAGGCAGGCAGGCAGGCAGGCAATGACTTTGAGATGGATTGGGTAGCAGCCCAAGATTAAAGCATGTGCTGGGCATGAACTGAAAGTGTAATTCCTAATACACAGATGTGTTCAATGCTTTCCTGTGATGCTCTACAAGCAAAGCCTTTGGGATGTCAGTGCAACTCCTCGAATCCTATCCAAAGGGACATTAGTCTCTTTATTAAGCACTTTGCATCTTCAGAGGCTGAGTGGCAGGACAGCAGGTGGGTCACCATGGCAGTGCCACGGATGAGGCTGTGGTAGAATGGTGCACACAGCCCCAAAAGTCCCCATACAGAGACAGTGACAATTTCCCTACAAACACTGCTACTTCCTGTCTAACAATCATCTCCCCGGAGGGTGCAGTGGAGGCAGGGGCCACTTCTATTTGAAAGCGGGGAGGACTTTCCCGGCACAATGAGTTACTTTGCCTGGCTTAGAAGAGAGAAGCCAGAATTAGAAGAGCAGTTTCTTCTATATTTCTGACGTTTGTTAAAATTCAGCATAATGACCAATGATGGCAGGCAGGATGTAATCCAGAAGTTGGGCATGTTTTCTTATCTCTTCCAAGCGCTTGCTTCTCACTCCTGGTCCATGACATTTCTTGTGACTCTACTATGAACAGGGCATGGTATTAGATGCCGAAGGTCCTACTGTGAGCAAGGCACAGCTATGGCAAAGACGCGCTTTCTGAATTTCTCTCCCTCTGACCACTCCAGTAGCATAACAAACGGGGAAGGTGCTCGGGTAGAGATCCTTGAAGATCTTAGAGGAAAGCAAGTGGTTCAGAGTGAGCTCATTTCCCTCTCAGAGGTTATTTCCCCAAATAATTCAAGGAACCCCCTACCTAAAACCTATCTCATCTGTTCTAAGCAGGATGGACTACTGGGAGGAGTGCAGACTTTGTGGAGTCAAAGTCAGGGCTCTGCCACTTAGGAGCGGAGTAACTTTGGGAAATGTATTTAACATCTTCGAGCCTGAGGTTCTTCATTCATTAAAATGATGGCACAGAGGACATTAGCTTCACAAGAACAGGGACTTGGTCCACCCTTTGCTCATCGTTTTCTCCAGCACATGGAACGTATATTCCACTGCAGGCACTCAAGGAATATTGATAAGTTTATGTTTAATTGTGTTAAATTATTTTAGTTGCTTATATTTGTTTTAATGGGGATTTACCAACATGACTGGAAAAAAAGGTTCATATTCCTTTTGCCTTCTCCCACCCTGCACTCTCCACAGCCAAGGCCCTGCTATTGGGGGGGAGGGGGGTATGGTGTAAGGGCCTCCCTGTGAGAACCTGCTCATTTCTCACCAGTTACCTTTGTTAGGCTGCCACCTTCCTGGCAGAGCTGACACACCTGTGGCTCTTCAGAGAGCAGCGGCTGATCCTAAACCACACAGTGAGCCAGTTAGTTTCCCTTAATCCCAGAAATAGTAATACTTTCAGAATACGCACTGTTAGTTACAATATTAATATAAGCACAGTACAGACTATCTGTAAACTGGCAAATTACATAGAGTCCCACCACCTTAACAAAACTCTGATAATACTATCTTTAGCCTTGGAGCTTCTTTAATTTTTATAATAAAGTAATGTGATTTTATTTATAAAAAGAAAAGTATGTAAGTATGATGTAAAAAGTGGGGTGGGGGGAAGCCCCATCCTTCTTGAGTTACTCTATGAAAGAATGCAAAGCAGTGAGCTTCGCTTTATATCCTAATACATAACAGGGTAACTCGGACACAGAAGCATTCATCATCTTTCTCTTTGGGTTGGCAAATGCTATTTATTTGCATAATATTTTACACTTACTTACTTACATTGTTTATTTCTAAGTGATTGAGAAATATTTTTCTCTCCATTTTATATAGGGAAATCTAAGGGAAATGGAGGTACTGTGAGCTCTCTTAGGACCAATTTCTTAGTTGACAGAGTTTCAAATAAAAAGTGAGAACTAGTGTTTACTTAGGAGATTGAACAAAGTTGTGCTGCTCCCTGTGAATTTCAGGCAAATGCCTGTCTGTTCGGGACCCTGTTAAAAAGCCAGGACACAGAGGCCTGTAGCACTCATCTCCCTCCATGCTGCTGTGTTTACAGCCAGGCATGGCACAGCCAGCCATACAGTTTGTACAAGATTTTTCTCAGAAAGGAGACTTAGTTACCTGTTCATCCACCGGGGGAGACTGCAGCCTACAATGGAAAATTAGAAACAGTAAATACAGCAACTGATTATATTTTCCCTTGTATCATTTCAAACGCACACAAAAAGCAACACCATGGTTCTCTTATGTTGTTGGAACCAATATTATCACTAATCTTGACCTTCAAGGAGAGGAGATATTGGTTGTTACATTTATCATTAGAATCTGACCCTTGGTCTACATTGTGGTTCCTGTTTAAAAACAGATTTGGAATTACAGTTTGTTTTCTTTTTACTACCCAGCAAACAACATTTATTTTTCCAAACCTGTAAAACTCCAAATGGCCAACACAATGTTTTAATAGCTATTTTCTATCTAATATTATAGAAATCTATTCACTATGTTATATATTAGTCCCCTCTTCCTAATAACGTTAACATGTGAAGTTAATTAATCAGGGACAGGGATATTAGAGAGATTGTTACATGAGACGAAGCTGAGCTAATGCTGATTTTCCCAACTTCAAATAGAACTTAAGAGGAAAGCCAGGTCCACTTTGGCTCTAGGGAAAATGTATCTCAGATCCACAGTGGTCCCTCCATTCGGCTGAGTGGCAGTGTGACCCTCAGTGTGACCCAGTTTTCAGCTGTTCCTTGGACCACAACCCTAGGAAGCCCAGGCCTGCCCTGTTTTGGGACAGCCCTGGGAGCAGCTATCATGTAATGCCTTTTTGAGGTACTTAAAAAGAGAAGACAAGGTAAATAGAGGCAACTTGGGTGTGCCACCCAGCCTGTTTATGCTCCTTAAACTTTCTCATCTGTAAGGTAAGAACAGATTAAACTTCTACATGGAGAATTACATTTTAAGGCAATGGTGAAGAAGAAATACATTACGGACATAAAGGACTACTGTCTTACGTTCCCAGGGCCCAAATCAGAACCTGGGGTGTGAGACCCTCCTGACTGTAATGAACTGACTTTGGTCTGGAAGGAGCTGCTCCTGAAAGGCATTTTCTACTCCTGGTTAATCTCATGGCCTATTCCCTTCCATCGCTTGGGCCGATCTGATGTTACTGGGCTGTGTCTAAGGTAGGTCCTGGGTCAGACCAGGCTCTAAGGGATTAAAGTTAAAGTGTTGGAATCACTCCGGCCTTGGCGGTGAGGAAGGGATACTTAGGCCGAGTACCTGCACAATCAGCCTGCTGTTGCACTGGGTGATTTATCGTCTCCAGCAGCTGCTTTTGCTCCAGATGACACACATCATTCTTAAGGCATCAAAGCCTGGACAGGCAGGCAGATACCAAAAATACACACTGTACAGTTCTCTCAGAACCTTCTCAGGTGTATTTCCTTGTTACTAATCTTTTGCTGTTCCAATAGACCTTAACTTTTAGAGCAGTTTTAGGTTCACTGCAGAACTAACTGAGCAGCAAGTCCAGAGATTTCTCATATATTCTGTCCACTTCCCCTAATATCAACACTCTGTACCAGAGTGGTACATGGTGTTATAATCAATTAACCTACACTGACATACCATAATTACTCAAAGTCCTTAGCTGACCTTAGGGTTCACTCTCAGTTTCCTACATCCTATGGGTCTGGACAAATATATAATGACAGGTATAATCTCCATCCATCTACACTCCCTAACTCCTGGCAACGGTGTCCATGGTTTTGCCTTTCCCCAGGATTCAAATAGTTGGACCTCCTTCATTTTTTAATACAGTGGAATTATGTAATATTTTGTTGTATTTCTACCTTCTAGAATTATTGTTAAAAGTCAATGTCCTTTGAATGACATTATGCTCATCATTGTAGTGAGCAAATCAGATGAAGAATTAAGAAAAAGGAATAAAGTTAACATGTTTGAGACCCTTAAGAGAACAGACATAAGAGCAATTACTGGATTTCTTTGAAACATAGCAGCCTTTCTCTTAGCACATAGGTAGAAGTGAGTCATACTCAAGTAAATGTAAGAATCTAAGAAATGCCATGACATGTGCTTCATTTTCTTGGGATACCAATCCAGCGGAGATTAGAGATAATCTTCTAAATGATAATCAGAATTTGGGAAGTGACTTTAGGGAAGAGTCAGAGGACAGCTTGATCACCCTTCTTGTTTCTGAAATGGACTTAGTGGGTTTGGTTTACTGTGTTACAATACTTACTTGGTTTTTTATTTACTCACTTCCCCTTCAAAATGTCTTTCTAGAATATTCATATTAGAAGTCAGTGTCTGGACTTTTCATTGCCAATGTATATCCAAGGCTCCCTCTTTCCCACCACCCAAAAATCACTTTATATCTTAGTTAATACTTTATTAACAAACACCTGTGGCTTTCTTCCAGGGGCTGTTTTAGTTTAACATGTTCCTCTTGAATTTTGTGCTTCCCATCCTGCCAAAATAAAATAGCTTAATTTATTAATGATTCAGAATGCTAAACAATGATGATATTGCAGTCATTTTTTCTTAAGCTTAGGTATAAAACTAAGCAGCTTTTTAAAGGGAAGGAATTAAACTTTCAAGATGTTTTTTTCTCATTCTTTACTCCAAGTGGTTTCTTATCAGATTATTATGATAGAATTTACAACAAATAATTTTCAGAGTAGATATTTTCTTTAATTCTTAAGATTCAAATGAAAATTCAGAATGTACTAATATACTACTTACTTGCATAGTGGGCTCAAGGTATTAGCTATTCTTAGAAGTATAAAATAAGTGAGAAAGGGAGAAACAATTATTACCATTTTGGGTTCTGGCTTCTGGGAACTCTTTCCTGGGATGCTCCTGCTGTTCTTTAACCTTCTTTCTCTTTCCTGTTTTAGTTCTAACTCAAGCTGGTTGCTGGGATAGGTGGGAGAGGAATAGGATGAACATTTAGAGTTCTGAACTCATTCTAAAAATAACCCCAAACCCTTTTCTTAAAGCTTAATAATAAAATTTCAATACTTGACTAATAAAAGTTACCCTATATATGGACAACTAGGTTTAGGATCTCCCAGTGTAACTCTTAATGGACAGTTGTGGTCAACTGAATGACAATTAGTAGCATTTACTATGACTGAAAGACAGTATTTATAAATTTTCAGCAGAATCAGTATATAAGCACTGACACTGAAGTCCCATTTCATAAGAACGACTGTCTCTTCCTACAGTTATCAGAGTCACCTTCAACCACGTGTCCTTAGCAGCTATGAGCATTTATATCCAACATTCAAGTTCTATTTGACGTTAGTGATTTAGCACAGAGCCTCTGAGAGATAAATTGGAAAAGTGAGTTGAGGGCTTGGAGCCAGTGAGAGACAGGCTTTTTAATTAGAATGTCACACTTATTAGCTTAATTGTGTGAATCTGGACAAATTTAATGCCTCTAAACTTTAATTTCTTCTGAAAGTGGGGGTAATAAAATCACCTACTAATAGGTTTGATGGGGAGATGTTAAGAGAGAATGCATGTGAACTGCTCAGTGAAGTATGTGGCACACAGTAAGAATTCAGAAAATGCTGTTATTATGAGTTTTATGTTGGCTATTTGATTCTCTCACTCTTTCCTATATATCTGGGACCTTAGGTTGTAACTTCCTAATTCTTTGAACACAAAGGATATTGACAAGATTGTGGGAATGCTGAGGTTTGTGAAGCTTTCTGAGTTCTAATGTCAGAGAAAGGGCACTGCAGAGACAGAATGGAGATGGCTGGGTCACCAGAGCCCCTTCTCTCGCTGTCCAGCCTGAGAATTACCCACAACCACCCTGTCGGTGGCAGCGCCCTCTTTTCACCGCTGCCTGGTGAGCTCCTCCACTTCCAGCTGCAGGCTGTTGATCTTGTCTCCGAAGTCCTGCTTGAAGAGCCTGTTGTCCAGTTCAGCAGACTGGCGGCCTCGCTCGGCCTGGCGCAATCTGGATGTGAGCCACATGAACTTGTGATAAAAAACAAAAGCCACGGTGGGGAGGAAGACCAAGTTCACAGCACAACATAAAACAACCCAAGGAAGAAGGCATGGAGAGACAGAGAGAAGACAAAAAATTCTGCAGGACACAGGGGAAGAAATTATGGGGGGGAAAAATGGAGAAGAAACAAATTCTAAAGAAAAGCAAGATGAAGGTGAACCAGGCAGAAGAGAAGTGATTTTCCATTTTTTTTTATTCTAGTACTACAGTTTACAGCCATTAGATGATGAACAACAAAACACCACTTTTTAGAAAATCCATATCCAAAGCCAACCTCAAGCACAAATATTAAAGTTAAATCCATTTTTTAAATTAAAATTTCCTAATTGGTTTGGTACTTTATATTCCTGTTTTATACACATAACTGGAACTTGCAAATGGGAAACTACCTTCTTATATATGGAACTGGAACATTTTCCTGGTCCTTCCTCTAATCAACAAATTGTATTAAATCATTGGACATTATATATCAACTCTTCCCCAGGCTTTGGGTTATTATATAAGGAGAAGCCGTTATTAGAATTTGACCAACTCTTTCCTTTTCTATTCCTGCCAAGTGATGTGTAATTGGATAAGCAATTTAGCCTGAGCCTGCTTAGAATTCCTGACCAGATTCTCTGGGAGAGTCTGACGAATGTGTTCTTCCATATATTCTGTAACTCTGCACCTATAAAGAAACATGTTCTAAGAGGTAAAATATCCAGGACTCTATAAAATAGAATTTGGAAGCATGCTATGTGTAGTCTCTAAAAATGTTTAATTTTGGTGTTTGGGCACTCTTAAATGCTCATAGAAAAGGCAATTTACCACAAAAGTTTGATGAAGATAAAAATAGGGGTAAAATTATATGAAATAAAAGGAGTGGAAGAGCACAGGATCTTCCATGAGGTTGCTCATGTGCTCTTTGATTTGACTTTGGTTCAAGTCTACAAGGACCTGTAAAAGCATACATGAAATATAGCTTACTCTTTTAATTCTGTGTGTCTCCCCCCCCCCCCCCCCCGGAAGGTATGAACTTCCAGGAGCAGGAAGCAAAGGGATTATTTTTGTCCCAACCTAAGCAGCGGAAATGCTGCAAATAACTGAATGAAAAAAACACTTGCCATGACTTTTTGAAGGATAAAGGCCTGTCCCCCAAAATTCAAAAGCCATTAAAAAAAATCATATTATTTATTGGATTATTTACAATGTGGAATCTAGAAAGGGTTAAATCTGTGGTCACTTAGAGAAATAAATCCTGCTTATGATTGTTTGTGGACACCTATTGGGAATCTTTATTTTTAGACTAACTAATAAAGATTGTTTTATTATTTATTTATTTCCTACTCTGGAATGATTTCCTAATAATTAGATCGTTAGTTTCCTAGGAACTTTGGCAAATCCCTATCTAAATAAAAAATAACAGAAACTCTTAGGAAAATGTTTCTAGCATGGAATGACAGGCAGGAAACCATCACTTGTGTCAATACCTGGTTGTCTTTACTCCAAAAGGAAAAGCAGGATTTAAAATATGTGTAGTGTATTTTCTCATAGGAGAGGAGTGTTTTTATTAAAATTGTTCTCTGTGAACTACCTAAAGAGGGAATTGCAAGAAAATGGCAGAGGTAGAAGATGACAATTAGGAGGGTTTTCCCAAGCTTCCTCATTATTATGTTATCATAAGTTACCTAATCGCTAATTTTATCTCTATGTACTTTATAGAAATGTAAGGATGCTGTTTTCCCACCCCCGAAGTCACTAAGGCAAAAAAGTTGCAAGCAATCTTGGTTACAGAGAATAGAATTGCAGTGAAATACTAAGACTTATCCTGGCTTGGGGATTAAATCTACGTAACAAAAGTGAAAGGGGTCAGGGCCTAAGAGAACTACTTTAGAGAGTGCAAGCCCATAGGTAGTCACCTGTAGTTCATTACATCGCAGTGGTAGACCAGGCTTGTTATACAGACAATGCCTCTAGAATCTGATATTTCAGGGATTGGGTTGTAAAACATCAATAGTACGTATACAAAGCTTCAATTCCCTAGGCTTCTTTTTTTAAATGGAATATTTATTTATTGGTCAACTCAGAAGTAATTTCTCAAGGTTTATTTGGCATTTAATTGAGAACTTACACTAAATATTCTAACTCTGGGGAGAAAATAAAGAAGAAAAAACACAGCCTACATATCAAATTGTTTCTTTTTAAAAAGTCCAATAAATTCAATTTTTGGTGATGTTTTATATGAATCAGAGCCTAAATGTAATAGCTTTCAGATTTCTTCCTTTTACAATTCCGTTGTGATATCAGACTTGCAAGGTGACAAGCTGCAAAATGCCTAATGAGGTTTGGGGATCAATTTATTTGCTGCAGTATTTAAGGCCTTTGCCTGTTTCACCAAATCCTTTTCACTGAGTTAATAAAATAAAAATAAAAATGGAGTGAAAGGAATGAGAAAATGAATAAAAAGGAAAGAGAAAAATAACAGGAGAATAAGTCAGCATAATACTTGAAGAGATGTCATTATTTTAATTTTGTCTGCTTTAAATGCAAAGTCTAAAAACCACTGAAAATTGATTTTATACATTTCAAACACATAATTTATGAACACTAAAACTGATTTGTTGAATCATAAATAGGTAATTGCTTATGAGCAAACACTTAGATAACTTCTTGGATAGATGGATATCTTTTTATTTAAAATCAGCCAAACCTGAGGTTTCAAGCTTTTTTTAAATTTTATTAATTTGCAAATGAATTTTTAGTTAATATTAATATTCAGTGCCATTCAGGACCCTACTGGTCAAGAATCATCTGAATAAAAGACATCATCCATTCATCTACTAAATGAATGCCTTATAAATGCACAGCACTGTGACAGATCCAATGAGGAAACATAAACAACTAGTTAACTAACCCTAAGAAGTTCACATTCTCACTAGAAGATATGACACATATATCAAAGGTATGAGGTAAGGCAAGAATGAGAAGTGGTAAGCAGCATGGGGAGGTAAGGTATAGATATAGGCAATAAGAATTCCAATGGTAGATTTGGCAGATTATTTTTATCTGGAAAGAAGTATTAGAGGAAGCTTTAGAAAAGTCGCATTTGAACCTGAATGTAAAAAAATGTATCTGAAGAACAAGGAAGTGGGGAGAGAAAGGGCATTTCTAATTGGTGGAACTATTAGAAAAGATATGGATGAGAAAAATGGGAAGCATGTCCAAGGACCAGTTGGTAGTTTAGTTTTGCTCAAGTGCAAGGGTGATCAGTGGGGGTAAAGGTGGCAACACAGGCTGGCAACAATGAATGACCGTGACCGTTATGGCTCATTTGAGCTTGAAGTCTCAGCCACTTTTCTTGATACTGGGAAGAAAACGGTGTTCAAGCCAAAAGCAAAACCAAAGAGTAGCATAGGGAAAGGATGTACGTTATGAATGGTGGGTACTGGTGGGAAATAGCTGGCCAGAGAATGAGAATACAAGACTAAAGAGCAGAGCTGGAGACAGATTTAAGGGCGTGAGGTGACAATGGAAGGTATAGGACTGTTCAGGAGGGAGTAGAGAAAGGGGTTAAATTTATTAGAAGGGCCCTCAGTACCCCTATATCACCTGGCACCAAAGTAGTTAATAACTTTAGGGGATGGACAATAGAATAGCAGAATCACAAACATATTTGAAAGCCCTTTCATCCTTGTTAAGTATCCCTCCCCTAACACAAGGCATTTATATGGGCTTAAGTGCAAGGGTTAGAGTTCTGCTGTTCAAAACAGTCATGAAAGACTAATGTTTCTTATAAACGTTTTCAGCAACATCTTAGAAAACACAAAATTTTATCAGCTTTCTGCCAGCATGCTGATGTTAAGCTGGGAGAACTTAACATATTTTCTGTTTGTCAAATGCATAGAACATTCTCATAGTACTTCCAGCACTAGGCCCAAAGTATTTCTAAAGAAACTTTACCTTTGTTCAAGTTGTTTAATTGTAGCAGCCATCTGATTGGTCTTCTCTTCTAAGCGACTGTTTAGTTCACTTTTCTGTTTTACTCCTAAGTCTGAACTCTGTTGTGGAAAAGAATTATGAGTGATATATATAAATACACACACACACACACACACACACACACACACACAACATAAAATCCTGAAATAAATCTGACATGTCTTTTAAACCTAATGGTATGTGGGAAATAAGAGAAATAGAAATGCTCATATACTTGGGAACCAGTTAATTCCTAAGTGTAGAAGAAATAAAAAGCAACGGTGAAAATTAATAGTGTTATATGCATCTTTGTCACAAAAATCAGCACCAGAAGGTTCATCAATTTAGCATATTCCAGTATAAAAGCTAATGGAATATATAGCTCAGTTAGTACGTTAGACTACAGAATAGAAATTATCTCACAATCTGAAAAGTGGCCATGGTGATGGACAGATTCCTAAAATGGTTTATGAGCAGCTAGCCTCAAAATGAGATGCGACTCTTTCTTCTGGTATTTAAAGTGTGATTCTAAACAAGAGGGGCAGAGGGGAGCCCTGGGATTTTAGAGAGCAGCGAGTCAGTTCCTATTTCCCTTACCTGCAGCTTAAAGGCAAGTTCATGTTTGAGAGCCCTGAGGTCATCCAGCTGCTGCCGCAGACACACCAGGGCGTCCTGCTTCTCGCAGACGTCCTTCTCCAGCATCTTCATGGCCAACTCCATCTCCTGCCTCATGCTGATCTGGATCTCCAGTTCTTTCTCAACATCCTGCCCCAAAGGTAAAGGAAGTGCTTACTCTCTCTCATATCTACTCTGTTTTCCTGAAAATAAGACAGTGTCTTATATTAATTTTTGCTCCCAAAGATGCACTAGGTCTTATTTTCAGGGGATGTCTTATTTTTCCATGAAGAAGAATATGGTACACATTTATTGTTAAATGAAAATAAAGGAAATTTATTACCTATATACGATACAGTAGTACGATAGTTGTCAACACAAACCAGACAAACTGTGAATCCTACAGTATCAAGAATTTATTCATTTATTCAATGACAAACATGTCATCATCTTCTGGAACATCATCATAACAATCCAATTCCTGAATTTCCTGGTGAATTTCTTGTGACTCCATTTCTTTCAGAATCAGTGGATCAAATCTCTCATGTTTAGCCTAGGGGGGCCTTATTTTTGGGGGATGCCTTATATTTCACTCAGAAGGAAACCTGTAAGTAGGTCTTATTTTCAGAGAATGTCTTATTTTCAGGGAAACACGGTATGCACAAACCAAAAAATTCTACAGGAAAAGGTTCACTAAACTCTCAGATCTGAATATTCTGACAAAATAGCTATAAGCTCTCATTCAATGCAGAGACACTAATGACAGGAATAATTAGGATAATTACAATAACATTTACTCAATAATTTACAAATTTAAAGAGCTCAGTAGGCCAAAGGTAGTGCTATTTAATACATCTAAAATAGCACTACCTGAGGTACTTTATCATTATTAAGATAGACAACTGATGTCATGTCTTATTATATAAGTATATATGTAAACATATACTGTATATTTATATCCTGGTATAGTAGCCAGTACAAAATGAAGTAGTTGTAATTCTCTTCAATTTGGATGTTGTTGACATATTCAAGAGCCCAAAAAATAAAAAGATACTGTGGGTTCCCAGGGTAACATTCAATTACTGTGAATAGTCAATATGGCTAACTTAATGTTTATATTCACTTAACATGACCCTCTTTTTGTTCCAGCCATTGTTACTGTAACATTATTTGGATGATCAAAGCTATAAACACCTGAGGTACTTCTGCATTCAGGCTACCCCAAAGCACAGCTAGGACCTTGCCTACTTGCTTGGTTTCTTTCATTTTTTAACATTTATCTTATTGTGACATAAGGATGTGGAAAATTTTGTGTAAAATTTTTATCACATGCTGCTTAATTGAGGCACTCCTCTAACATGGTTAGCATGACAAAAGTTGGATCAGACTGTTTCTTGTAGTAAAGTTGCCCATATATTATTTGTAGGAGCTTCCTTATGGAAAGTATTTTGAGATCTAATTCACCAACACATAGGAGAAAAATGATAATTATTTCAAAGATGTCAAAACAGTATTATTTTCTCAGAAAACCTGAAATTCTGTTTTATACACCGTTAGTGTATAAAGCTCACTCCTTATTTTCAGCCTTTTCCCTATTGCTAGAGATACTACTGGGATGGTGGTGGTAGATTCTTTTGTTTGTCATACTACCTAAATTGCAGGAAGAATTAATATACTAATACCAGGGGTATATTAATATACTAATACTTGGATAAAATGCAGTTCAAGAATATTACTCCTTATTATACATTCTCATATGTATTTTATTTTAAAATATTTTAAGACTAACACTGATGACACATCTTTCTATTTATGTATAAGAACAAGAATAAATTCAGAAGTAACAGCAAAAATAAAAGAAAGCAATTCTACATGAATGGCTGTTAGTGATGAGGAGAAGAGCTGCCTCCTCCAAGAAGACACATCAGAATCTTCACAGGAGTGAAGGTGGGGAGGTGGGAGTACAGAGTTTATAAAGTAGTTACTATAAACCTAATGTTTTTGCAATACAAACTATAAAAGCAAGTAAATTAAGACTGTAAAATCTTATATGCAGTTGAGAATATTCAGAAAATGAACTGAGATAGCATTACAGGGAATATGAGAAAGTTTATAGGACGCACAAAAACGTATCAGAACACTACTATTCCTGGCTTGGGTTTTAACCTGCTTTAAACCCCTGAGCAGGCTGGTACATTCTGCCACCTTCTGAACTATCAGGATGTAAATGAAGTTTACCAGTCGCAATTGTGTCTCCTCCTTTAAATGCTTTCTTGCTTCACTTAGTGCTTGCCCTTCTGAAGTTCTGTCTTGCTTAGGAGCCTTGAAATGATAAATAAAACAGTATGTTTTTAAGGATGAAGAATCTATACAGTTAGTTAACACCGGCACTCCTATTTATTAAGGGAAAATGATCATACCTAAGCAGATATAACAAAGAATGAAGAAAAACAAAGAAATTGAAGAGGGTTAGCAACTTATAAATCCTTAAGCTGAATTGAAGATTTTTTTGCTATTTTATTTAAAGTCTTTAGATAGTTTACCAAACCAAGTAGTAGAAGTCTTAAAAATCAGCCTTTAAAAACAAAACAGTATTCACTGTCAACTATGAATTGGGCCAAATGTTCAAATGGGAATATATTCCTTCTCCAGAGATTTTACATCTGGTATCTCTAACCATCCAGAGAGACCACAGCTAAAAATAAAGAGTCATAAGAAAATTCTTCTGAGTGGTCACTGTTGTTTTCACAAAGCCCACACATTTAAGTCAAAAGATACTCTTTAGAAAACAAGTTTGGTCTTCAGTAAGCCTAGTTCTCTTTAGGGACCATTTAAATAACGGATGTCTGGGTTCCTAGTCACAGTAGGTTAGAAGCAGAAGGATACAAGGGAAGAGCAAGACCCTTCTAGAGGTAGCAATACTACCTGCAGTATGAAGAAATGCCAACAAAATCATAAAAGACAGAAAATGACACCCACAGTCATCGGGGAATATTTAGGTACAGGTGCTAGGCACTCTCTCAACTTCAACAGCTCACTAAAGTAGTACCACTACAGTTTAGAATTGCCAATGTGGATAGTTCTGATTTTCAGTCATCAAAGAGCTAAACCTGTTACATTATATCCTTTACTTATAATTCTACAACATATAAAAGGTTTGCAAACTATCTGTTTAGACATATATAAGAACTTTGGTGCTTTAAGAAATTAAGTTATTTAGAAGGTTCATTTATAAATAAACACTTTCCCAGTGGTATCAGATAAACACTTCTTATAAAACAGTAAAGTGGACTAAAATGATGGTACATTTAATATAACAAACCTACACTTAAACACAGCACATCTTTAGTACATAAAAACAAGAAACTGAAATTAAAACGTCTCAGATGTAGATGGCGGTGAAGCCAAGGAGAACCTGTAAGGGGAGCACCACCCTCCCTTCCCCTTCACTGTCCCCAGTTTTGCATGAAGCCACAGTAAACACAGTGGCTTCCAAACCCTCCTCTAGAGGATCCCCCACCAACAAACACAATGACACTCTCTCCAGGAATATTTTGTAAATCCAGTAAAAGATTAACCTTCCGATTGGACTCTAGTATGTAGGAGCTTTCCTCTTTAACTCGTTCCATTTCTTCTTGCAAGGTAATAATCCTGTTGTTTGCAACTGCAAGCTGTTGATAAAATTAGAGAGAAAAAATAATCTTTTATCTTTTACTAACCAGGATAGGAGAATTCATGATCTGGTAGGCCATAATTTTTCAGGATTAGCTATTCTTAGAGGGAAATAAAACTATCTATAACTCCATTAAAATGTCCTTATAAGGAACGTAGGAGAAATATTTGAAAGTAGCTTAGATTCAAATTCAAAATATCTCATTTTGCTGCTTTTTGTGTAAACTTTATTTCAATACAGAAATGTTAAGTTAATATCATTTACCTTAAGGGTGTCCTCATGGATAACTTATATTTAGTTACAAACACCCATTTTTAAAGCATTTAAGAGGTCACCTTATACTCTGGGACCCATCTTATGAATCCTCCATTAGACTTTTCAAGAGTAAAGAAATGAGCTCCTAAGTTCTTGAAGATGTCATTAAGCACTTAAGAGAGTTTACATTTCAGCACCTAAAAAGATAAGGTAATCACGATCAGCAGAAAGCGGCGAAGGGGAACCACTGTTACCCCCTTCTGCAGGAGGGAAAAGTCCAGTGGGAACACTTTGTCCTTCTCTGTAATCACGGACCTGAATTATCCACAGAGAAAGTGAAGGGCCTAAGTGAGGCTGGGAAGGGAAATGGGCAGACTGCTCTTGGCCAGGCCTGGACCGCTTTTTATTTCCTCTGCACAAGCAGTGGGGCAGGTTCTGTTCGGTTCCTGCTCTAAGGTGTAAGGACAGGGAAGCTAGCCCCCGGCATGCTTTCTAGAGGCGAGTCTGAAGCCCATTTCTCCGTCTGCTCCTTGACCTGATGGAGCATGAAGAAGTAACTCTGGTCTAGTGCATCCTCAGACAGCTTCTGCCAAAGTGTCAACGTCAGAGGAAATGTTAGCAGATGATGAATACAGATCCAAAAGGGCTTTCTACATTAGCTGCACAACAACAGAGTGCATATTTATATACCTTCATCTGCTTAATTCTTCTCATTTTGTTATGTTGGCTCAGAACTCAGGAGGAGAACAGTCTGCTTTTTTACTTTTAACACTCATCCTTTTAAATCCAAAATAGATGGACATGAGAAAAGGCAGGCTTCATTAACCTTCTCTGCTCTTTTTTTTATTTTTTTAATTTTTTAATATTTTATTGATTTTGTACAGAGAGGAAGGGAGAGAGATAGTTAGAAACATTGAAGAGAGAGTCATCGATCAGCTGCCTCTTGCACACCCCCCACTGGGGATATGCCCGCAACCAAGGTACATGCCCTTGACCGGAATCGAACCCGGGACCCTTCAGTCCCCAAGCCGACGCTCTATCCATTGAGCCAAACCGGTTTCGGCTCTCTGCTCTTTTTAAAGCCTACACACAATGCTTACCTCTCTCTAAACACTCAAAATGTCAAGAAAATAAATCTTATTGGTAAAATAAATAAGTCAATGAATAAATAACCAGATTTAGTAAAATAAATTTAGATCAGGAGGACAATCTTGTGACTGAGGGAATAAAATTAACAAGTATGTTTATACTAAGTGTCTGTGATGTGTCAGGCACTGGTCTAGGCCCTTATGTATTAAATCATTTAATTTGCACAAAAATTTTATTGTTCTTATTCCCATTTTACAGATAAGTAAACCAAGGAATAGAGGCTTAAGTAATTGGCCCAGGATTAGAAAGCCAGAGTTGGGACAGGAACCCAAGTAGTCTAGCTCTAGAGCTCATGTTTAGTTGTTAGGCTACATTGCCTCAACATAGTAGCAGTAGAATCACAGTACAGAATTTCTGTGCAGAATATTTTGAAAGCCTTGTGGGATCAAATTCTAAAGGTCGTATCTATAAATTAGAGTTTTAATATAATTTACAAATCTATACTAAAAAATGAAACCCACAGAGCTGAGTAATAAGGAAGGTGTTATTTTTTTAAAAATTAAAATTATTGGGATAATATTGGTTCAAGAAACCATACAGGCTTCCTGTGTACAACTCAACAAAACATCATGTGCACATTGCATCCTGAATAAGAAAGGTGTTTTAAAGTTGTAACAATGAAAATGTTTTGGAAAAAAAAATTAAATAGCATTTCCTAGCTACTATTTTTAACTTGGTTTCATTGAAATCATATTTACTGCAGAACAGTTAGAAACGGAGAAGATAAAAGTCTTTGCCACCTGGAAAATTTTATTTAAGGTTTTTAAAAGAAACATGTAATGCCACTGAGGAAAAAAACGTAGCTTAGACTTTGGTAGGTTAGGGGAAAATATATTAATCAGAAGTGAAACATGAACTTATATTTCTCTTTTTATTTTAGGGACTTTCCTAAAAGTTTTCACATATGTATTCTTATCTGACCTCTAGAAAAACTGTGAGGCTGAAAGAGGAAGTGTAAATACCCTTCTCTGCTAGCGAGGGAACTGCGCCTTGGAAGTCAAGTGACTGACTTGTGCAGCAGCACATGACATGTGGCGCATCACGTAGGCGGGGGTCACTGGTCTTCTGACCAGTGCTCTTTGTGTTTTCTACTCACCACCCGTGGAGAAGATCAGGCCCGTGAAGGTGGGGAACTGCCAATCTGGCACACATAAACCTTTATGTGGCATGAATCTTTGTTTAGCTCTAGCACTGAAAATGTTTGTTGAATGAATAAATGAACATCATGCTACATGCTAAACATTAACTCTAGGCTAGTTTAGACAAAACAAAAGAAAGCAAGATATTTGATCAGCCTAGGTTCTAGGCCAGTAGTCCAGTTGCACAACTGAGACCCCTGACATAAGCCAGCTGGCCATTCTTTGCTATAACAGAGTTATGTCCTACATTAGACATTATCTGAAAAGTCAAGTCCTTTGGCTCCAGAGAAATTACTTGCCACTAATGCACATTACTAAGTTCTATAACTCAATCAAAGAATTTCCAAAACACTTACTTCCTCTGTCAGTTTAGTGTTGGATTTTTCTAATGCATCCACTTTTGCTTGAAGGTTGTTTACAGTAGCACTATTAAGAGAAGAAAAAACATAATGGTTTCTTTTGAGAAACAGAACAATATCCTGCACTTCCTTTTTTTTTTTTTTTTTTTTAATATTTTATTGATATTTTACAGAGAGGAAGAGAGGATAGTTAGAAACATCAATGTGAGAGAAACATCGATCAGCTGCCTCTTGCACAACCCCTACTGGGGATGTGCCCGCAACCAAGGTACATGCCCTTGACTGGAATCGAACTTGGGACCTTTCAGTCCGCAGGCTGACTCTCTACCCACTGAGCTAAACCGGTTTCGGCCTGCACTTCCTTTTAAACACCCATCATACTTATAACTCATTAGAGGCCCACTGCACAAAATTCGTGCATGGGGGTGGATGGTGGTGTCCCTCAGCCTGACCTGCACCCTCTCCAATCTGGGATCCCTCAGGGGATATCTGACCTGATTGAGGGGCATTAACTCTAGCCATTAGGGAAATCACACAGAATGCCCTTGACATACAAACTCTGGTTTTATGAGTTGTTTTAATAATAATGGCCATTCCTTTAAATATCTGCTTACATACAATATAGCTGGTACTATATGAATTTAGGATGTTAATATCACAAAAATCATAGAAAATTGTGGAAATAACCTTGAATTGTGTAGTCCAAACTTTTATAAATATTGGAATTCCCTTTTCAAAGATTTTGAATGCTTTTTTGTCCTAAGAAGCTTAACCAACTTTTGAGGCAACCCATTTTCTGTGAAAGGACTGGGGGAATCCGGCAAGGCAGATGGGACAGAGCACCATCATATGCTTGTGATGGCATGATGGTCAATTTGCATATCCACTCTTTATTAGATAGGATTGTAATGTCCATGATTTTTTTATAGATAGCTTAAAAGGGGGGCCATGTCTTAGCAGCTTCATCATTGGCACTGAAGTTTGTGTTCAATAAGAACTAATTGAATGAAATAAAAGAATAAATGCACTATACAGTAGACTTTAAGTTTTACTAATGTATTAGATACCCCCCAAAATGTATATATGCTTTATAGCTGATTAAGCAATGTTTCTTTCTTTTTAGATTTAACCCACAGGAATTAATAATTATTCAAAGTGTGTATAATTTTTTTTGAAACCCTGTATAATAATAGGTTGCATGAATTAAGTGCTTACCACACAACAAACACTCTTCTAAATGATTTTACTTGCATGATTTCATTTACTCTTTTCCACAACCCTATGCATTAGGTATCCCCAATTAAAGAGAGAAACTAAGGCATGAAAGAGTAAACTAATAGTATCATGCTTATATTTCATTGTCAGCTCTAACCATAATTTTGCTTGACTAAAATCTCCACAGTTCACACTCAAGTAACAATTTCATTCAACATTGTTTTATTATAACTTCATGAGATGCTGTGGAACTTAACTTCTGTCAATTAGCATATGGCAAAACTGGTTTTGTTATACATTGTTTTGCTTAAAGTCACAGAACCTATCAATGATGTTAAATGAGGACTTACCATATATCACATATTTAAGAGTTTTAACAATGTATGTATTTAACCAATAGAGTTTTAACAATGTATGTATTTAACCAGTAGAAGTATAATTACATACTAATCTTTACTGCCTTTCACTAAAGGTCACCAAAACAATTAAATGCCATTTCTCCAGTGTCTAGGTAAGTGGCTAGCAAGCAAGAATTCTACATACATTTGTTCAGTATTGTCTCAATTTATCCTCACTGCTCACCAGTTTACCCTTCCCTTCCCCAGTACAAAACCCCCTGTAAAGTAGTAATATTTATTCATTCTTTACTTCAGATGTCTGTTGAGTTCTTCTACATAGTTTTTCTGGTCCAGAATTGCAGTAATTTGTCCATCTCTGGAGGAAACAGGGGAAAGAGAGAGAAAATAGAAATAAAATAAATATTAGAAATATCAAGATTCCTCTTCCCCCAGTCTTTTCATAAAACACAGAAAGGAAATTGTGGTACAGATATTCAATCAGAAGATAGACCTGATGTATAATCCCCTCGACATCAACAAGAAAGACTCGAAGGTTAAAAAATTTAAAAAGACACACAAAACTCCATATTAATAAAGCCCTTGTTATAGCTTATCTACATTAGTAACTTAGGTTATAGATATAACATTACAATCTCTAAGAGGTATTTAAAGAATAAACATTTTCTTCTCCCAGCTGACAGATTTTTTTAGCTTCACTAGTTTTATAACTATTTCCATTTGTTGTAGGAATTGAATTAAGCTCACTTTGGTGTAATAGTTGTTCTCAAAGGATATACGTTTGCCTTTAATGTTATTTAAATTTGAAATAAATGGTATAAAAAGGTTTTCATAAATATCAAGGGTTTATTATCACATGAAAAAATAAACTGCGAAAAAGGGAAGTTCACTTCTTGAACCAACTAATCGATAATAGGCAAAATTAAACAGCCAGACTTTTCAACTGAAGGCAAAATCAAGGCCACAGACCTCTACTATTAATACTACTGACCAAACCATATAATCTTAGCTCAATGTCCAAGCTTGAAAACTTCAAAATAATTGAGCTTTCAACTGCTAAATTTATAAAGGGTATAAGGTGTGTTTTTGATCTCCAATTTCTATGTAGTATATGAATATTTTAAAAAACTTTCATTGTGAAATAACTGTAGATTTACAAGAGTTGTAAAAGTAACACAGTTCCCATACACTCCCCTTTAATATTAACATTTTACATAACCCCACGATGCATATTTAATATTGTAAATTTTAAGCAAACTGAGAATGTAACCCTTCTTGTCAAGAAAGACCCTGTTTTCAAACACTATCTGAAGAGATGGAGCATTTGGCTCATCTTATAAAAATTTTAATTATGTTTTCCCCTGAACCACACAGCAGGAAAATCACTTTAATTACAACCCCTTTTAAAGTTTAGCAGACATAACAAACAGTTTTGGAAAGATGCTATAAAAGCTAAACCACTAGAAATTCTTTTGGCAAATCTGATAAAAAGTAGTTTTATTGTAAACTTTAAATAACATAAAAGAACATTAAATAAGAAAGAAACCTAATTTTCTTTGTACATACCCTTCACTACCTTTACTGCTGTTCCCATCCTTGAGATACATAGAAAAGTCTATAACTCCAACCTATAGAGAGAATTTTCAGAATTTAATATAAAATTAGATATTTTTTCTCCAAGGCATAACACATCTCATTCTAGATACTCAAAATAGTTATATAGTCATGACAATTACTAAAAATTTTAAGGGACATTTTAATGTTTTACTCTTATTATAATCAAGAATTGACAAGGGCTGGAAGTCTCAGATGAAGTCAATTGGACTAGAAGCCCAGATAAGACTAAGAAAGTCAACAGAATACTTAATATGAAGTTTTAAGTTTCCCTTTTGTTTATTTCAAGTATTCTGCTACAGAACCACTATGTTCACTTTTAGAAATAACTTTTAAAATTATAATTACAATAATAATGTGCAGCCCCTTTAGAAGTTTTAGAAAATACAGTTAAGCAAAAGGAAGTAATACAAGGCACCCATAGTCCCAACCACCTGAAGATGATCACTGTGACATTCTGGTATCTATTCTTCCACATTTTCATTGGTGTATGTCTACATTTTTCAAGATTACTATTTTACCATTCAGCTTATTTCTTTTTTAAAATCCACATCAAAATATCATACTTCCTGTTCTATTTTCTCAGTGCAAAATGAACAGAAGTTCATCGTAGTATTTCACACAGAAGGGGTGAAGATAGTCATATGAAAGCAGCCGGTTTACTCATTGGGCAGTGCATTTGTGCCAGGCCCTGTAAGCACATTACATGTACTCACTCCTTTATTCCTCACAATAGCACTATGAAACAGATAGAGACTGCATTTCTTATCTCCGTATTACAGATAAGGAATCCGAAGCACCAAGAAACTTTGTACTACAAAATATATTCAGCTAGTAAATGAAGCTGGAATCTCAACATAAACAGTTTGGGCTCAGAGCCTTCACTCTTAACTACCATGTTAAACTGACATTTAGTATTTAGCCTGTGTATATACTTTAGCCTGTATATGTATATTTAGCCGGCACAAAATATTTTTAACAGGGATCACAGTCAAAATAAGAATCTGAAAAACATTTAAAATGTATAAATGAGTCAAGTTGGAAGGTAAAAAATCAATTTTTTATATTCACATTAAAATGAAAGGAAAGCCTATATGTATAACTTAAAGAATTTCACCTAATTTGGTTGGTATAATCTGATCAGTCCAAATTCTGAGATAAGGGAACTCAGAGTGACACACTTGGTAACTGAGTACTTTTTCATACCTGAGAGTCCAAATCTTCTCCTTTCATACAGAAATTGGCATCAATGACATTCAGACCCACCAACAGACCAGCAATTATGGCTCCTTCTTCTTCCATCATGAGGGCATTTGGTTCATAGAATTCACTGTAAGAGAGATTCATGGAATGTTCTATTGTAATAAAACCTCAAGAACCAATGATGTAATCACGAGACAGGGAGGGAAACAGTCGCCTCACGGTTGAATGTATTCATCTATGATAACAGCAAAAGAGTGAAAAAATGGCTTGGATACTTTATTTAAAAGATAGATGCATGAAGAGACTAATCCAGCTGAAAGAAAAGTGATCTGAATGGTATTTTCATTGAAATAAGTATTCATGCCTTTCCCATGTTTTTGTACTTATGAACAGAAATTCTGCATTTTAATGTAGGCCAGTTTATCACTTTATAAGTAGAACTTTTTGTCTCCTGTTCAAAAACTTTTTGTCTCCCTATGTCTTCTTCCAAAAATTTTACTGTTTTCTCTTTCTCATTTTATCTACGATCCCTAGAGAAACATTTTTATGTATGTTGTATTTAAATTTAATATTACATGTCAGCTTCCTGTCTTATTGAACCTTAGTACATGCCAACATGTCAAAGCCCTTCCCAGCTCTAGCTGGTTTGGCTCAGTGGATAGAGCACCGGCTTGCAGACTGAAGGGTTCCGGTTCAATTCTAGTCAAGGGCACATGCCTAGGTTGTGGGCTCAATCCCCAGAGGGAGGGTGCACAGGAGGCAGCTGATCATAATTCTCTCTCATCATTGATGTTTCTCTTTTTCTCTCGCCCTTGCTGCCTCTCTGAAATAAATAAAAATACATTTTAAAAAGCCCTTCCTGTTTTACATATGCCACAGTGCCACACAATACATGTATGTAAACACCTATTCCTAAGTATGTGTGTGTGAGGTGTGGGGAAAAGATATCAGTTGAACTATGTGGAACTGTTATGAACCATTTGTTTCTGATGTACAAAACTGACAAATTTTATATAATTTAACCTCATATGATGGAGAACATAGCAAGTAAAGAGCAAAATTCAACAAGCTATACATACCTGAGAAGTTCCTTTTTATTGATCAAAGCTTTCATATATTCTGAAAGTTTCTTTTGCATTAATGCCAATCGAAGCCAGGCTCTTCCTCTGCCTACTGGTGTCCTATAGTAACATAGAAACCAAACAACTAAAAGTAACAGGAATAGGGATCACAGTTAGACAGATTCACTTACTTTTGCTAGTTGTCCCCCAGCAGAACATGCACACTGTGGTGCTCCTCACAACTTCTCCTATGAGATCCTAGAGGGACCCGGAGGGTGTGTTTGGGACAAATGCTCTGATGAAGAATTAATTACTGAATGAGACCACAATCTGAAGGCAAGACCTCTGGGAGGCTCAACTAAAATGTTCCATCAGGTTAAGTACTAGTAAATCCTCATACATTTAGTATAGATCATATCAGTACCCAAATAATAATAATGTGGACACAGGCCACTCAGACTTCTATCTGATTATAATTAAACCAATCTAATCTGGGATGGTGATTAGTACTCTTTTTCAAGTTCTAAGGTAGGTTCCAGGTGTCAGTTCCTGAGGTTCACTTGACAACTGTTTCAATCTTGGTTTTCAAATTCTATCAAACACATTCTTAAGTCAAGTCCAGTATGCCACCCCCCTTGATTTAATTTCTTGAAATTCAGTAATTTCAACAAGTGCATAAAAAAAAGAACATATTTGATATTTTAACATGAAGACAATCTCTCTCAGATTAATAATAATAATTACCCCTCACAGACATACTTCTCTTAATATTTTACACTATAGGCCCAGTGCACAAAATTCATGCACGGGTATGTGTGTGTCCCTCAGCCCAGCCTGGACCCTCTCCAATCTGGGACCCCTCAAGGGCAGTCGAATATCTCTCACAATCCAGGACTGTAGGCTCTCAATCGTTTACCTGCCTTCCTGCTTGATTGCCCCTAATTGCTTCTGCCTGCCAGCCTGATCATCCCCTATTTTCTCCCCCGTCAGTGTGACCTATGCCTAACTGCTTCTCTGCTTGCTCAATTGTCCCTAACTGCCCTCCCCTGAAGGCCTAGTTGCTTCTAACTACCCTTCCCTGCAGGCCTGGTTCCTCCCAACTGCCTTCCCTTGCAGGCCTGATCCCTCCCAACTGCCTTCCCTTGCAGACCTGATCCCTCCCAACTGCCCTTCCCTGCTGGCCTTATCACCCACAACTGCCCTCCCATGCTGGCCATCTTGTGTGTTGGAGTGATGGTCAATATGCATATCATCTCATTATATAGGATTTCCAGTTCTCTCAAAACAGTGTCTATTTGTAGCAAGAGTATGCATTTTAGATTGTTAATGAAATAAATTATCATGATCATCATTATCTTAGTCTCACTCTTCAAGGGGATAGTTGGTAAGAATGTTTTCCCTGACAAACAGAATTCAACTCTATACTTACTTAAGTCCGGGAAGATCTTTAACACTTGCTGTTATCTCTGCAGCTTCTGGAACAAGCTTTTCTACCAATTCTAGGGGCCCCCAGAAGGATTTATTTTGTCCAAGAAAAGTTTTCTTAGCTATAGGATATAAAACATAGCAGTATTTTAATATTCTTTGCATGCCCTCAACACACACACACACACACACACACACACACACACACACACCCCTCTCCCATCTACTCAATGCTCTTTTTTGGGAACCAATCCTAGATTGCCAAATATTTCTAAAAGTATTCATGCTTTCAGAATCTGTAATATTTTATGAAAATCAAAACCCCCTACTTTCCAAGACTTAGTCCTTCCTCTTTCAGGAAGAATTTGTGGACTAGTTCTATAACAAGACATTTTAATAACACTTAAAGTATTATTACTTTAATTACTATTAATTACTTTAAGTACTATTAATACTTTAATAGTACTTAAAGCTGTGCAATATAATGAAGAAAACAGTACAACAGGGAAGAATATATAATCCAGAAACAGGCTATCAAATATTGGGAGGTGCGAGAAACAGAGGTGAATAGGACCAGGTCCTGTGTTAAACAGCTTATGGCTAAGTGGGAGAAGCACAGAAGCAGTCAGAAGACCCGAGTTCTAGCACATGCTCTGCCCCACTCACTGTGGGACTATGGGAGGTCACATCTCATTCCCGGCCTTTCTGCAACCACAGAACACAACTGCCAGGCTGGACTAGATAATTGTAAGGGCCCTTCCAGCTCTAGTATTTAATGATCTGAAGTTTCGAAGCCCTGTAAGTCCTTTAAGTCAACCAGATGCCAGCATCCATATAAAATGCATTCCAGTGGATAAATATTAATTCAAACCTCTTTATTCTTTGACTCCACAAAGAATGCTTTTCTTTTTGAACAGCCTGCTTTCAGTTGTTTGGTCGTCCCTCACTAACCCCATGGCCAGCTTTGTCACCCCACGTAGCCTGTGTTCGGTCGTCCGTCCGTCCGGTCGTTTCAGTCGTGGCATTTTATATCAGGATGTGTATTATTAGGAAACAGCTGTCTGCACGTTGGCACTCTGAGGCCGTGCCTACCTTTTAAGCCGTGTTTCAGGCAGTGCTCCATCACCACGAAGAACTGCTGGAGAGGTGCGTAGTCAGAGTCCAGCGTTCTCCCTAGGTTTAGAGCCGATTCAATCAGACCCTTAATACTCAGCTTGGCCATGTTCATCAGGTTCATGCGTTCATTAGCCATGAGATAATTCGGATCTGTAGCCAAAGGAGATGAAAATGATGTCTGGTTACTGGAAATAGTGCATTTTAAAATTCACTATAATTTCATGGTGTTGATTTTTGCATTGATGGTGCAAAAGAAATGGTGGGTAAAACTGTTACTGTCTTGGCAAGAATCAAGGCAGTGGCACCAAATTATACTATTAGTTGTAGTCTGTCAAATACTTGTTGTTAAAAAAAATATCAGTTTCCCTTAGGAATATCCTTGACGAAACAGTGAAAATTATTTATTTTATCAAAATTTGAGCTTTGATTACAGTCTTTTAATATTCTCCCCACTTTCTCTGCAGCCACCCTAACCTGGGCGCCCATGAAGGTTATTCCACAACCTTCACTGGTCTGCTTCAGCCTTGCCCTGCCTCCCTTATTCTCTACACAATTTGTGAAGTGCTTTAAAATAGTAAAACCAATGAGAAAAAAGCAAAGTACTTAAAGTTTGTTTCAAATATACTATTTGCATTATTAGTATTAATACTAATTATCATCATTATTTAAACTAAGCGTTATTAAATAAACTAAAAATAATTAACATTAGTGCAATGCAGTATTAGAACTTAATCAATTTGCAAAATTTTAAAGACTTGGCATAGAGTGTGTGACTCTCATCAACCAGACAGATAAACTATGTGAGGAAAGGGACTAAGGACCATATTTTATCAACAGAATTCAGAACAACACAGACACTCAATACTTCATTCACTGGTGTATATTCTGTGTCAGGTACTCTGGCCTGCTTCTTACAATTATGATCTCAGTTTTTCCTTTCAACATGCTACAAGACAGTTACCAACAGCATCAATTTGCAAGAAGGGATCAATGAGGCTTAGGGAGTAAGGGGCCAGCCCTGTGGATAGCTCGTAATAGATGACAGAGCCAGAGTGTAGATCCCGTTTCTCCAACTCCAACCCTGTGCTCATGACCACTATTATCCACTTACCCATGAATCAATGACTCCAGACAGTATTTATCCTTCTCTCCTGCTGACCATTCTTTTACATGATTATCTTATTTAATTCTTATAACTGTCATTTAAGTAGTATCCTGTCTTTTCAGGTGGTAAAGCAGGCCCTTAATAGTTAGGTGGTCCAAGGCCAGTTTGTATGTGGCAGAATTTGGACCTAGATCTGATATGAAAGTTAATGCTCTTTCTACTATATATATATCCCCAAATATAAAATATATCAAATTTCTATAAAAGTCTTAAAGATCTATGAAATATTTTAAATCTTCTTAGTAAGACGAAAAGTACTGATAAATCTATACAAACAAGCCACAACACAAAACACATTTTATTTAAACTGTCCCAAGCAGTTTTCTTCACACAATGTTTTCAATTATATCTGCTTCACAGTTAAGTGAGCAGAATCAAATAGCCAAATTCTAAGCTAATCTCCATTAAGTTTAAGGACTTACTGTAGATTTACAGTTCCAACTATACCAATTGTGGTTTACTTAGTGTTTTCTATGGTAATACTTTTATTTTTTAATTAATTTCAGAGAGGCAGGGGGAGGAAGAAACAAATAGATTGGCTGCCTCCTGCATGTCTTTTACTGGGGATCAAGCCTGTAATTCAGGCATATGCCCTGACCAGAATCTAACTATGACCTCCACTCCTGGTTCACAGGTTGATATTCAACCACTGAGTCATGCTGGCTGGGCAGTAATACTTTTAGAGAATTAAACGGGCTCAAACAGAAACAATCTACCCATTCTTTAAAAAATATTACTCTCGCCAAGACCGGTTTGGCTCAATGGATAGAGCGTCGGCTTGGGGACTGAAGGGTCCCGGGTTCGATTCCGGTCAAGGGCATGTACCTTGGTTGCGGGCATATCCCCAGTAGGGGGTGTGCAAGAGGCAGCTGATCGATGACTCTCTCTCATCGATGTTTCTAACTATCTCCCTTCCTCTCTGTACAAAATCAATAAAAATATATTTAAAAAAATATTACTCTCAACCTCAGCAATAATTTGGGCCATAAATGGGATGGGAATGCAGTTCTGTGAATCAAGTTTAACAGCAACCTTGGTCTGTACCCACTAGATGTCAGTAGAGTGTCTTCAGATCTCCAGATATTGCAGAATGTCTCCTGGGAGACAAAGTCAGGTGCCCTCTCCATTGAGAACTACTGCTCTAAACAAAATTTTAAAAATCAGGGTAATTTGACAATTATACATAAGAACTCAAAAGAGGGTGGGCAATGGTATATGTACAAAGATAATAATTTAATTTAAAAATTAAAAAAAAAAGAACTCAAAAGAACTTACTGCTTATTATTGCTTACCTAAAGTATAAGTTAAACTGATTATTATTTAATATGTGTTATCTACATTTTTGTGCTGCATAGTATACAGAGTAATGGTCATTACAAATAATCTTAATGATTATTTGTAATGACCAATTTAGTACTTAATTAATGAAAATAATTAGTACTTAAAAATTAATTATTTTTTATTTTATAATATTGGCTACTAATTATGAATACTAAATCATTAATTTGATTTGTCACAGAATAAGAAATTCTTGATTCAATTAATTTGTTGTCTTGACCAAAGTATAAAATGATTTTGTGGAAATAATATATGCTGTTAAAAAGATGAGAGCATGAAGGGACTTTTGAGAAGCTGGTAAAATTGTTTTTTATATGGATGTTAACTATGTGAAATTGTTGAGTGTATGAAAATTCAATGAATTGAATACTTATGTGATCTTTTATGTATATTTTATGCTTTGAACTACAAAAAGTTAAATAAAATTTCACTATATTCCATAGGCCAGAAAATTTTTTTAAAAAAATGTATGACTTATACAATATCATTAATCATACTTTTTCTATGAAAAAAGTCATTAAAATTTTAATTTTTCACAATACTAACATTTAATACTATTAATCTCAAAACTGAAATTTTATTCATTCGTTTTCTTCAATTAATAGTGAATATAAACTGGTGTTAGAAATTATATTTAATGTTGGATAATACAGAAACTAGAGATAGGAAAGCTTATAGACAATACTTAAAATTTTGGGATAAACATTATCACCCTGGACAATATCAATTTTGTTCCAGGACAAGTAAATTAAAATGTTTTTATATTAAAATATAATACCCATTTTATGGAATCAAATGTAAATTTTATATATTTTTTAAGGCTAAGACAGTAGACATGACATTAAAGTAGCATTACAAGCAGGCTGTAAGTCCAATACAATTTCCTCTACCACTGATGTACTTCTGTGGAAAGGTTTGAGAAGTACTGCAAACATAGCAATAAGATCACTGAAAAAATATGAGTAGGACATTATAGAAATATGCATAGAAAAAGCTACCTGACCTGGTTCCCTATTTTTTCATTCAAAGTTAAGGGCAATGAGGAATGGAAGCAGTCAGAGCAGTAGGTGCTGTGTGGAGAAGAGTGAAGACCCAGGGGTAGAATGTCAGGATTTCACAACAGGATGACCCGTTGGATATGAGGGAAGGAGAGAGAATGGAGAGTAACTTTCACGTTTTTAGATCTGGTGATTAGATGAACGGTGGTGGGAATTACCTGGCTGGGGAACACAGCAGGGCAGTGGACCTAAAAAAAAAAAAACTTGTAGAAACGACTGTAGCTACAAAAATGAACTATATTATTTGGTTTTCAAATTCAAGAATGTGTGGGTCTTCATTATATCTCTTCAAGACTGCTAATTTCCACATGAAAAAACTGTCATAACCCTTATAGCCATGTGGCTCATTTAGTTACTAGTGATGACAGAAGTGAACCCAAAGTCATAGCTAAGAGTGACAGTGAGTCACACTGTTCTGCAAACCAATCATCTGACCAAGATCCCATTTTACCTCTTTATAATGCAATGACTAATGTTCATACAGAGAATTTTTTTTAAAACTATATCTTTATTGATTTTACACAGAGAGGAATTGAGAGGGACAGAGAGTTAGAAACGTCGATGAGAGAGAAACATCGACCAGCTGCCTCCTGCACACCCCCCACTGGGGATGTGCCCGCAACCAAGGTACATGCCCTTGACCGGAATCGAACCTGGGACCCCTCAGTCCGCAGGCCGACGCTCTATCCACTGAGCCAAACTGGTCCCGACATCATACAGAGAATCTTGAAAATTATAAAATAACTGAAGGAAAAGTAAGTTATCTTATATAATAAAAGGGTAATATGCAAATCGACCGAACACTCAATGTAGGAGCTGCCCCCTAGTGGTCAGTGCGCTCGCACAGGGGGAGCGCTGCTCAGCCACAGCCAGGCGGCTGATGGCTGGTGAGCACAGCAGCCTGCCTCCATGGCAGCACTTAGGATGTCCGACTGATGGCTTAGGCCTGCTGGGAGCAGGCTGAGGCCATTAGTCAGACATCTCCCCAGTGCTCCTGGGCTGTGTAAGAGCGCAGGCCAGGCTGAGGGACTCCCCCCCCCCACACACACACACAAATGTCATGCATTGGGCTTCTAGTATTTGACGTTAACATTATGTGTGGTACATGGCACCCAATTCTTGGCACAATGGGAATAATTAATATTTAGCAAAATAGCAGTTAATCTTCAAAATTTCCTGGTTATTTGACAGATAAAAAAATTAAAAAAAAAATATTTTATTGATATTTTACAGAGAGGAGGACCGGAGAGAGATAGAGAGCTAGAAACGTCGATGAGAGAGAAACATCGACCAGCTGCCTCTTGCACACCCCCTACCGGGGATGTGCCCGCAACCAATGTACATGCCCTTGACCAGAATCGAACCTGGGACCTTTCAGTCCGCAGACCGACGCTCTACCACTGAGCCAAACCGGTTTCGGCAGATAAAAATTTCTTATATGAGAAACAAAGGAGTTGTCAAACAGAGATTTTCCCAACGATATTTAAGAGCATTAATAAGAGATTTAAAGACAAACTAACAGAGAGGTATAGAAAGGAAACCTCACTCTATGTTCAGATTGACTTAAGATCAATAATCCCTAAATAAAT